GGTCCCCCTCGGCTCCTGGCTTTGGGCGGGGAGAGGGAGGGAAGACCCCAGAGAGCCCAGGCTGGTCCTGGGAGAGGGGCCTTTAGAAAGACCCCGCCCGACATTCAGGCCTGCCCCGAACGCAGCACCCCTTCCCAGGTCCTCCTACCTATCCCCTGTTGGGATGTCCTGTCTCCCTTTCTCTCCATATTTCTCTGTCCTTTCCCGTGTCCTCCCCAAAGTCCAGGAGTCCTATAAAGGGAGAGGAACCTCAGCCACAGACACCCACCGCCACTACACTTCCCCCACCATCTTCTTTGTCCACGTTGAGTCCACACGGAGGATAGATGACTGGAGACTCTCAGACCTCAGTCTGGCTGTCTGGGAAATGGGCAGAGGGATGTGGAGAAGGAGGTGAGGGTGGCTTGGCTGGCAGTGGGGTAATCCATCAGGCTTAGGATTCAAATCCAGACCCAGCCACTTCCCGCTTCAGTGACCCTGGGCAAGTCACGGTGCATTCCTGTGCCCCCAGGTACCTCCTCTGTAAAACTGGGTGATAGCTACCTACCTGGTAGGGTTGTGTTGATCAAATGAGTTGCCAGGATGATGATTATAGTTAATATTGTTATTCACCCCACTCCTCTCCACCTCCAGGGGTCCCCGCAGGGGACCGTTCCTGCTCCCTGCCTCTGGTCTCTCTCAGGTCCCCAGAAAATATTTTTGATCAACTCTCTGTTGTGCATGGGGTGAGCCTCGAGGCAGGTGGAAAACCAAATTTCCTACAATCAGTGACTGTGTTCCAGGTATTGAAAGACGGAGAAGTGAGGACAGAGACGCGGAGAGACAGGGAGAGAGAAGTGAAGAGAGACGCAGAGAGACAGACGTGGAGAGACGCAGAGAGACAGACGTGGAGAGACGCAGAGACGGGGAGAGAGACGAAGTAAGACACAAAGCAAGTGGGGCGTGAGACAGGACAAGCTCGGCTGCCCCTGGAGCCCCAGCCCCGCCTTCATGCCCGGCAGGTGCCCCATCTGGCCCATCCTCCCAGGTACGCCCTGCCCTGGCACCCATAGGCTGGAAAAGGTCCTCTCTGGTGGTGGTTTGGGCTAGGACCTCCACAGCAGGGTGACTAGAAGTCAGACAACAGAAAGGACTGGCCAAACTCAGGAGGAGTGTTGGGGACAAAAGTGCCCTGGCAGGCCTCCAGGGATGGGGGGGTGGGTTAGTGAGAGGCCCTGATTGTCTCTCTTCTTTGCAGCCTCCAGGCATCCCCTCTGACTTCCTCCTCCCACCCCTGTGACTTCCCGGGCCTTCACCCGGCCTTCTGTCCCTGCTGCGCCCCCAAGCCTCCAGCCGGACGCATCCTGAGGGGGGAGCAGGAAGTTCTCGTGTAGCCCGGCAGCGAAACTGTTTATTTTTAGAGAAAATTGTTTCCATAAAGGGGAAAGGCTTTACTCCTCATTGCCTACCCTCAACTTTCCCTACCACTCCCCCACCCCTGCCTGGCCTGACCCAGCTCTGCTTTGGGGTCCCCAGCCCTGAGCTCTAGTTCTCTTTGTGCCCCTGTGTCTCTGTCTCCCAGAGTCCTTGCAGGAAGACTGTCTCCCCATTAGTGCCCCAACCCTCTGCCCACCTAAGCCCCCATCTGTCCCGGTAGCCAGCTCTTGGCCTGGGCTGGGGGGGAGGTGCAGGAAGGGTGGGGCCTGTCGGGCTTAGGCCCCCATCCTCTGGCCCTGGGGGGGGGTGGGCCTTGTGGAGGCGGGGCTGTGGGAACAGCTGGAGCCTGTCCAGGGGCTGGACAGATGTGCGGGCGGACCGTGAGGATTGGTTTCTTTGTTCCAGGCCATGGGGGCCCCCCACCCCTTTCCACAGCCAGGCCGGGTGTGTGCCTATGAGAGGGTCCCACGCACGGGGGAAGGGGGAAGTTCCAGGGGAGACAGTGATAGAGGGGGGTGGCCACATCCCCTTCCCTCCCCGCGCAGACTCCTGACTCCAGGCTCCATCACACCCCTTTCCCAGGTAAGCCTCAGCCTGTGCTGCAGGCAGTCTGACTCACGTCCCCCAAGTGACTCTCGAGGAACATCTGCAGCAAGAGGATGGCCCAAGTCCTGCACGTGCCAGCCCCCTTCCCAGGTCAGGGGTCTCGCTGAGAAGAGGGCCCTGCTCTGGGGTTGGAGGTGGGGGGTCACAGTCCTTTCCTGGAGGCCCAAGGAAGGATACAACCCTGCCCTGAGAGGCGTAGGGGAGGGGAGGGGGCCCTCCTTGAGGCGGTTGAGGGAGGACACGGCCCTACCCTGAGGACTTAAATGGGGACAGCTTGGCTCTGCACCAGAGGGTCTTCCAGGGAAGGAAGTTTGAGTGTGGAGACAAGGTCTTGTCTTGGTTGGGGGTCTGAGACCAGAGACAGTTGAGTGATTGAGTGCCTGGTGGGCTCCCATCCTTTGGGCAAATAAACCTTGACTCTCCCACCTTCACCCGGAGGAGGGGACCACAGTGTTCAGAAGCGCTGGCATCTCTCCCCATCCCAGGGACCCCTGGCCCAGCCTCCCCGCCCGCCTTCCCCACCAAGGAGCCCGACCTGCCCTACTCCGTGGAGACGCCCTATGGCTACCGCCTCGACCTGGACTTTCTTAAGTACGTGGATGACATCGAGAAGGGCCACACGCTACGGCGGGTGGCTGTGCAGCGCCGGCCGCGCCTGGGCTCCCTGCCCCGCGGCCCTGGCTCCTGGTGGACCTCCACCGAGTCCCTGTGCTCCAACGCCAGCGGGGACAGCCGCCACTCTGCCTACTCCTACTGCGGCCGCGGCTTCTACCCACAGTACGGCGCCCTGGAGGCCCGCACCGGCTTCAACCCTCGCGTGGA